ATTATTGCAGTGTCCAGGCCAGAAAGCGCTTCATTTCCTATGTCGTCAATTGTTAGGTTGGTTTGTGGAATCATACTCATCATTCTTCTGCTCCTTTTGTGTTACTACAGACCGTTCAAAGGTGAGACCTTCTTCTATCATAATGTGATATCTAACATTCTATATTACACATTTTATCCATAGAATAGCACTATCACAAAGTACAATACCAAACCATTTAACAACAAATATATATTTCACAGGTTCATGCTGTATCAGGTTGGTTGAACACTCTCTTCTCTCATTTTGAACATAACAACAATACATTCCATGTTCTTATTTAAATGTGTTGTATTTGCTTCATGTTGTAGATCAAACCAGTCTGAGAGCGTCAATCAGGACTCCGATACAAATCATGTGGTCAACCAGAATGAGGCTCAATGTGATATGTACTCCACTCTTCTCCATGGTAAACATTTAAGCTAATCATATACATGTTATTTGCATTCACACATTTAAAGACACATTTAGAAAATAATCAGAGTATGTTAGATTAGTATCATATGTTTAAAAAGGTTTAATCTGCTCTGTAGGTGATACTTCTCTCTATGAATCAATCACACACCCTGAAGACACTGAAAACGGTACAGTTCATTCTTTTTTATTAACAATGTCAAAAAAATATTTTCCTTGCAGTAAGCAAATCTGGCTACCAAGTCAGGATGCCCAGCTACCAGAAGTCTTAAAAGAGGATGAAATTACTTAAAATCTTATTATTAGTATTCCTTTTTCTAGATAACAAAACTTCACACTGGCCATGTCCATACAGAGCTTTTACCAACCAAGTTTTAAAACCGCAATCTTCAAGTTGGAAGATGTGCTAACTATTGAGCCACCATCCCAAGAGACTACTGGTGTTGTGGCTCTAACCACAGCAATGTTGATCAGTGGGTTCACCACTTTGATCCAGACTGTAATATAACTGTACTTGTACAGATATTCATATCACAGGATGTTTACTTACTCAAATTGATTAATGTGACCTTGGCTTTATTTCCACTGCTCTGTAGGTGATGATTGTATCTATGAATCAATCAAAGGCTCTGAAGACACTGATAAAGGTACAGTATACAGTGGCAGCCGCTGGGAATCAGTGGGTCCACCACTTTCGTCCAGACTAAAATATAACTGTACTTTACAGACATTCATATCATATTACTTAGTATCATGCAGTTAAATTGATTAATTTAAATTTGGCTTTATTTCCACTGCTCTGTAGGTGATGATTGTCTCCTTGAATCAATCAAAGGCCCTGAAGACACTGAAAATGGTACAGTACACCACTTTGGTCCAGACTGTAATATGTCATCCACTGTTTTGTACAGACGATATGTACAACAATATGTACAACAATAAACAAAATAATTAGATAACATTAGGGCAAACATTTGTATAGACATCCATGAAACCCAGGGGATGAATCCCAATTTGAATTTATTATTCATTTACATTAGTTGAAATTGACATAAAACAACTAGAAAAAAATACATTTTGCAGGCCAAATTATATTATATTTTCATGCCATGTTATATCATGTCATGCGACGGCACGAGAAGGATGGAGGGTTCAAAATGGTCCCTGGGTTGACAGTTTGAGATCCCTGATTCAGGGGACAGATAATGAGGGATATAAAATCATCTAACCGTAAAATATTTGTATTTCAAATGCAGAAGAATTCCAGGATGTCACATATCCTTCGACTGAACTTAAAAACATTTGAAAACAAGGTGAGTACTCCAAATAATTGCAATAAGTAGTCAATATTTTTGAGATGTTTTGGCCTGAAGTAGCAAGAAGTATTGATATTTTTTCTGATTATCTCAACAGGGAAGCAACATGAACCAGAGGAGAGCTCTGTTTACTCTGATGTGAAGATAGGAACTGCTGTCATGCTGAGAGTTTGTAGTGAGATAATCACACAGGAGGTCATTATGGGTCAGCATGCAGTTCAATTAATGTCAGTCACTAACTACTGCATACTACCACTAGGGTAGTCATGATGTCACCACTCGTTAACAGCAGGCTTTCTCACATACATCATCGATTATTATCTCTGCTTTGCACTTTATTTAATTTCCATTTAATGTCCTATTGTACATTCTGCAGAGTATATAAGCTCACTTTTTTTCTATGCGTAAACACATTAGCTCTGGTGTGAATGTGGTGATGACTAATTCTTGCTACACATCTTTATGTCTAAAGAGGAACTGGAGGTTGTTTATTTTTTACCCATACTGATAAGCATCGGCCTTTCTTGTTTCTTCCCACACTTTAGTTGCAAAATAATCTCTATAGCACATTGGAACAAAACACATGGAGCGGTTTATTTCAGTATTTTGTTCATTTGATTTGATTTCCCCTTTATGCATTTTATATCTGACCTCTGTTGTAGATTAATATCTGATGAGAACTTACTGGCAATCTTTTTAAATGTGCCAAATTAAATTATGAATTTTGATTCTGGGCACACCACTGGGCCCATCTCACTGCCTAAATGCATAATGTGTAATGAGTTCTGTATGCATAATATGTTTTTATGTAATATTTTACATCAGGTACTATGTATGTATGTTGATTTTCTATCTGTTTTGAGAGAATAGAAGAACAAATGCATAGACAGCCAGCCAAATGCCTTTGACTATCTGTGACCCCATCTCGTCGCCCCTTTGTAAACTTTCTGGGAGCGCCACTGGACAGAACAGGTTGAGGCTAGCTGGCTAGCATGCTAACTAGATGATATAGATAATACAGCACCCACGTAAACACAGGGAAAACATGCAGTCCACACAGAAAGGCTCTGCCTTTGATAATGCTATATGACTGCCCTCAGTGTGACCTTATCTATGTGGAGGCTTTTGAATAACAACAAGGTAACTGTAAACTGTAAATTTCAGCTCTGGTGGATCTTTGAAAACATTCCAACGTGTTACTGTCGCTGTCCAAGGTGCTGATCCTGAGCCCTTCAGGAATGTTGAAGCTGTCCTGGGTAATCGCGCCTGTTGTGTCTAATAAAGTTCCTACCTGTCTACAGCACAGTTTTAAAAGGGACATCCACAGGTTATACTCACTTAGTAATCCATGGGGAATTGCAGAGATCATCCCAGCACAGAATCCTTATATGACCACTTTTCACTATGTGAGCTCGCTCTGTATTTTTAAAAGGGGGTTAACAATCCAATCCGGCTTTTAATTTGGAGTAATATTACAGTTCAGTATTCCTTATATTGACTTTTTTTTTTTTTTACGTTGTATTGTTTTCATTGCATTAAGTTTTAGTCTTGCAAAATTGTATTCATTGATTGTTTTTATTTTTGGTCTGTTGTATCAGTGTTGCTATGTGAAGCACTGGGCTGTATGAAAGGTGCTATACAAATAAAGCTGAGTGGGAAAAATACTGGTTTCAAGTTTGGCCATCACTTTACCAACAGGAAGTGACTGAGCTCGAGTGCAACTGAAATAGTCTCATGAACAGAGGTGCGTGTAGAAAGGAGCCAGAGCACATTGTCTCTGAGGAAGCACCCAAACTAAATTTCATAGAGAAAAGGTATGAATAATAATAATAATAATACAAACATTTTTATCATAAGGCTACAACTTTCTGAATGCACTCTTTGTACTACCGGCACTGATACACGTACAGTTGGAATAGAAACATGCACAAATTAACAATACAATGTTAGTGTATTGTGTGATATGAGTAAATTCAATGTTCTTCATGCATTTGTAATAATTACTCTTATTTATTTAGTTATTTATTATGTTAATGACATTTTTTGGGACCAGAAAACCTTTGTGCAGTCGACACAAACATGTATCTAGTCAGTGGGCAGGAAGTGTGAACATGTCAATGTGGTCAAAACCACTGCAGTTTGAGTTTTGTGTAAAAGGGAAAGAAGAACAGACAGGCTATACCCAGAAGGAGGAGTTGATGAAAAAGTTCTATGAAATGTAACTTCTCTCTCTCTCTCTGCTTTATTATTGCAAAGTAGAAACATTTCCTCAGAAGCAGAGCAGCAGAGCGACAGTGTCGGTGCTGGATGTGAAGATGGGGCACACTTTGCTCTGTGTGCTGGGGTTATTCTGTAAGTACATCAGTGACTTTCTAATTTTGTGACTTTCAGAGGCAGACTGAGTTTTTTGTCAACATGTTAGTTTTCTAGGAATGATCTATGTTTCTGATTTGGTTTGGTTTAGAGTGGAGGACTGTGTTAAATACACTACTTTGCACACATATTTGCACAATGCATGTACAGTACAGATTTGCAGATTAACAGTGAAGAGTGTCAAACCTATGAATGCAATAGTTCCATACCTTACTTACTCACAGAATATCATCACAGAAATGTTTGATACTGCTGATTAAACAATAGTTGCTAGTGTTGAAACTGCAGCGGGATTTTAAATGTCTTTTATTATTGTCTGATGAAGTTTTAATCCTTATTTTAGTGCTGAATACACTCGGACATGCTGAAGGTGACCAATTGTTTTAGTTTTTTTCTGTTTTAAAAAATGTTTATTAATTTATTATTCATCTCCTATTTATCTTGATCACTTCCTCCTTTCTCATTTGTCTTCTTTCATAAATGTATCATTTTACATTTAACTACAAACCTCCTCAACAGCGTCAATGCTCCTTTGCAAAGATTCTAAACTCTATTACTCTATTTGTATGTATGTATGAACCTCAACACACATTATCTATCGTCTATTTGCTGTCGTGTATGTGTTGTCAAAATGTTGATGTTTCTTGCATGTTCTGTCTATTTGGATGTGTTGTCTTAAGCTACAGTGTGTTTTCTCTCTGCCATCACTCAAGCAGCTGCAGACGTTTAGGATCCTTTATGTCTGATTATGTACATAAACATGTGCAACTTAAGTATTTCCATTGTGTTATAAATAATTTTTTAATGCATATCCATTACAGTAAATTCCTTGTTTTATTGTTTCTCTAAACTAAACAGCAGATAAACGTCAGGTCACACTGACAGCAGATAAGACAATCATACCACCAGGGGGCAGTGTGACACTGACATGCTCTGTGGAGAATCCTGCTGGCTTCAAATATCAATGGTTCAGACAGACGTCAGACACTTCTGCAAAAACTTCTCTTCAGACTGAAAACTTTGATGACTCACACACAGTTATCACACATGGAGGCAGATACACCTGCAGAGGATGGAGAAGGGAACCAGAAGTCCTCACACCTGAAAGTGATCCAGTCACCATTCAGGAAACTGGTGAGTTTATTAATCTGCTTAATAAATTAATAAATGATGTTAGCCCAGTACCTCTTGAAAAAAAAAAAATTCTTATTATGGTGAGAATGGACTATTTGTGTGACCTTCTTCAGTGTGTGTACAGACACAATAGAGGAGTTGATGTTGATCCCTTCATGCTGTTCAGTTTTATTGATAAATATCTGTAATCAGATAAAACACATGATAGCTGAATGCAGTATTTGTGGACCCTCTTGACATTAAACACCATTCTGCTGAATATTTTACAGTAGCTGAGATGGATTGTCTTGTTTTATTCTAGTTTTTAAACAGGATGGATGGCTTCTATTATATTCTTATATATTATATTATATTCTATATTCTCTATTGTTGTTTGCAGCTCCTTTTTTGCCACTGTGGTATCATGCTAAAGACTGTAATACACCACCATGGTAGTGTCCCATTTCACTTGCTGTAATGAATATGCAACATCCGGTTACACTTTCAAAATAAAGCTTGCTTGCTTTAGGAAAAGAGTGTATCTGACAAAATCATTGTTTACATGGGACTCAAACAGCAGTCTCCTGGGGGAAAGTCCTGTGTGTTTGTTTGGATGTGGACTTGCTCTTTACACTACTGCTAGTACTGCGCCTTCATACACACGTTTACTTGTGGCACTGTTTTCCCTCATGGATCCATTCCGAAGGAAAAAGATATCCAATACAACTTCACCAGGAATTTGATGTGGCTGGGAACCAGTGTTGGGAGTAACGGCGTTATTTTTTTAAGTAACGGAGTAATCTAATTAATTACTTTTCCCCTCGTTGCAACGCCGTTACCGTTACTGAGAACGTAAAGTGGCGCGTTACTTGCGTTACTATAAGTTGGTTGAATGAAGCGCAGCGGTGTCAGGCTTTCTGACAGACACACATCAGCTGCTGGGAGAGAGCAGGGTGGTGATGATGACACTGTTGCAAATGCGATGATGATTGGCTGGGTGGGCGGATGCCCTGCTCACGCTGTCTCACTGCACGCTGTCTCACTGCACGCTGTCTCACTGCACGCTGTCTCACTGCACGCTGTCAAACTACTACTATAAACACAAGACAGAGACAATGGCGACGAGAAGAAATTCAAAGGTAGCGATATCAAACTGGAAGTACCGACACTACTTCTCGCTTACTGAAGTTAAAGGCAACAATGTTTATGTAACATGCACTATGCCCAGGAAAAAAAACTTTATCCACGTCTGCCTCAAGCAACTCAAATCTTATGAAGCACCTCACAGGAACACATGCTAACACGCCACTTGTTGCTGCTGCTAACCCAACCTCAAGCCCAGATGCAGCTAGCGTGAGCTCCAGTGAAGGAGACGGAGCCACTCCGTTAAAGGGACACTGTGTAGGAATTTCTCCCATCTAGCGGTGAAATGGTATTTTGCATTCAAACGAAAAGTGCTCTCGATGCCTCGCGTTTTCAAATGCGTATTGCAACTACGGTAGCCGTTATGTACCAAGAAGCCTACCTGTCGAGGAGAAAGCAGGCAACTTCAACCCCGATGTTTACCCTCGTTTTTTGAATTCGCCGGTCACAAACTAGCCTGCATGATAATATAGACATTAGACACTAGACTTACAACAGGGGATTATCACACTGACTGGGGTCAAACAGTGTATCTCTGTACTAAATGCATCCTAAAAGGCTGCTAGTATTTTGGTATTTTGGGAGACTGTTGTGACTCTCTGTGAGCTCTTTTATTCCTTCAAAAGCTGCTGCTATTAACACTGCTTGGCACTTGACTTTCTTTTAAATAACATTGTAGCTGTTTAGTAGTATTTATATTATTTTTAAAGGTTGCTGCCGAATACAATGACATGCATCCACATAACTAACTATTATGGAATATTATATATTATAGTTCATTGTTTACATTTTACTTTTTTAGTTTTTATTCCTGTTTGTATCCTAACTGGACATTTCTGATGTCAACAGTTTCCAACAGGGCCAGTTTGACCCTTCAACCCAACGGGCCTCAGATATTCAGTGGTGAGACGATCACTCTAAGATGTGAGATCGATGGAGGTAGAGACAGTCATTGGACGTATGAATGGGAACCAACCAGCTCAAACACACAGTCTCCAACACACAGTGAATACAGGATTATCAGTGCTACTGAGTCCCACAGTGGAGAATACAGGTGTAAGGGTAGAAAGGACTCATATTCCTCAACAGAGTGGAGTGACTACATCAGACTGACTGTATCATGTAAGTTGGACTGTCTTTCATCCATAATGACAATGTCATGTTTTAAATGGTTTTATTTAATAATTATAATAATATAATAATAATATAATTAATACTAATAATTTAATAAAAACAATAATAAAGTCTCCTAATGTTAGCTCAGTAAAGTTTTTTTTTTTTGCATGGGAACTGAAAAAGTATCTAGTAATCAAAGTATTCTCTTGAAATATAAATATTCACAGATAAATATACTCTAATGAACAAAGAATAATAAAGTTACTTATCGGGTAGAACAATGGTGCAGTTAGCACTGTTCCCCAACAGTAAGAAGGTTCTATTACAAACCTAACTTTAATGCAACTGCTTGAGTTAACTCACTGGTTTGGTTGATCAACTGTTAGTAAGATTATTTGCCTCACTGGCTAATCTACATTGCCTGCAGGTGTTAGTGTTCATGGTTGTTTGTGTAATGTGTTAACCCTTTGATAGACTGACAACCTGCAGGGTGTAACCTTGCTCTCACCCAGCATGAGCTGGGATAGGATCCAGCTCCCTAAGACCCTGCAAAGGATGAGTGGGTACATATAAAGGATAAATAGAAGGTATATTAAAAAAAAGTTTAGCTCTTCTACACTTGAACAAAGGTTTTTGCCTTCACAAATGTCACATTCAGTAGCAGCAAATTATTATACAACTAACATTTTATATATTCATTTTATTTTGTAAATACATAGAATTTCTAGGTTTGTGCAAAACAGGACTTGAGAAAGAGTATGAAAGATATAGCAGCACATTGCTCTGCTTGGCCCAGGAGGAACGTGAGCACACAATAAAAATGAATCCTCTCTTTCCCCACTCCCAAGGATAACCAGTGCTACAGCAGATGCAGTCCAAACAGAATTGATTTATGAATATAATCAGGATAGAACAGGCGTTGGGGAGAGCACGGCCAAAACAATAAACATAACAATGTATCATTTTACAGACTAACTTACCTAATTCACAAAAGAAAACAAAAGACAGACATCTTACCTCCCCCCTAACATTAACAAGAGACATAGATCAACAAAAAGGTCTTCTCACCCATACAGCTCCCAGTTCTGCTCTTCTTGAAGATATTTAAATTGTATTCAACAGAGATCAATCACTTAGTAGCACTGCACAGTCTGGTTGGTCAGAGAAGAGACGGTGAAGAGCCCCACCCTCAGACAGGAGGGGAAACAGCACAAAAATCACTAAAATACAAATATGACTGGGGGTGATAACAACATGCTGAATCTTTATGTTTGTTTTGATATCAGAATGAGGAAAATATCTCATGATGCAAAATGTACCTTGCTTATTGTAAATTGCATGAATTGGTTAGTTACAGCAGAGATACAGACCAGAAACAGCAACAGATGCCGTTTGTCAGAATTAAATTAGTATATACTGTATGCAATGTATGAATTCAATTCAATGTCAGTATTAATACTATAACTTAATGAAAGTCTACAAATTAAACAATTTCTTTCCTTTGGGGGCTGCACTATTTAAACTGGACAAAATCACAGTGACAGTAATTTCCTTTTTTGCCAAAGGGCCTACATAAATGTAACTTTTACTAGTGCAGCAGCAAATTATCCTACAACTAACATTTTATATACTTATTTTATTTTATGAATTCATAGAATTTCCGGGTTTGTGCAAAACAGGACCTGGGAAAAAGTCTGAATGTAATATCAACACATTGTTGTGTTCGGCCTATGGGGGGAACATGAGCATGAAAGAAAAAAGGACTCCCCTCCCGACTCCCAAGGATAACCAGTGCTACAGCAGATGCAGTCCAAACTGAATTTATTTATGCCAAATCAGGGTAGAACAGGTGTAGGGAAGAGCATGGCTAAAACAGTTAACAGAACCATATATCATTTTATGATACTTATCTAAAAGAAAACAAAAGAAAACACAGGCATCGTACTTCGTCCTTAACATAAACAGCAGAAATAAATTCAATGAAAAGGTTTTCTTGCCCAAAGAGCTGTAAGGTCTGCTCTTTTACAAGATACTTCAGAGATTATACACTTGGTAGCACGACACATTTTGGCACAGTGCAGTTTGATTGACAGTCAGGGAAAAGAGAGAATGAAGCCAGCATCAGCAAGTTCCATTTTAAAATAACCACATTTGTTCTCCTGTCCAATCACCAGCCACAACCTGCAATTCAACAAACTGAGGAAAACACAGAACAGTGTAGAGAGCACTACCCTCAGACAGGAGGGAGAACAGCACAAACACTCACAATCACTCAAATACAAATATGACAGAGTCATAACAACATGCTGAATCTTTAATCAAACAATCAAAACACAAAAAAAGATTTATCATGTTATTCACACAGATAACAAAAGACAGTGTCACATTTCACAAATGATTTTCTGCTTGTTTTCCCTACAATGGGTTACCTTAAAAAAAAAAAAAAAATAATGTTGTTTTTGAATGATACATTTTTTTTTTGCAAGTCCCCTATTACCCTGGAGCTCTAACCAAACTATACATACTCATGATAATTTTAACATTGCTGTGTTAGTAAAATTAAAATGAAAGAATATCTCATGTTACAAAATGCTGCTTTCTTGTTGCAAATGTGGTGAATTGTGCTCCTGGTTAGTTACATTACAGATACAGACCAGAAACAGCAACAGGGCTCCTTTTCAAGAATTAAACTATTGTGTATCCAGTCTATAAATTAAAGGCATGTTAACATTTATTACCTGTGGGGGCTGCTCTATTTACATTGGATTAAATCACAGTGACAGTAATTTCCTTTTTTATGTCTCTGTTCAAAATTAAACAGCACAAACACCAAAGGCCCAACTGAGAGCTGATTACACAGACATTCCTGTAGGGGGGCAGTGTGACCCTGACCTGCTCTGTGAACCCATCATCATCTGGTTGGAAATACTTCTGGTACAGAGGAGAGAAAACCTCTGAACCTCTGACCACACCAGATGTTGTCTTCCTCTCAACTGGACAAATCAGAGTCTCACAGGGAGGACTCTACTGGTGCAGAGGAGGAAGAGGAGACCCAGTTTACTACACAGAGTACAGTGATTCAATCAGTATCAACAAAATTTGTGAGTCTGGAATTCGTTTTGAAACAGACAATTATCTTGTATTCATAATTAATTATTTATAAATAGGCCAATGGAATGATGTTCTCATTTTTGTGTCTTTCCTGTGAACAGTTGCAAACAAGGCTGTTGTGACTCTGCAACCAAACTGGTCTGAAATATACAGCGGAGAGAAGATCACACTCAGATGTGAGATCAAGGACGGAGGAGACACTGAGTGGACGTATGAATGGAAAACAAACAGCTCAAAAAAACCTTCAAATCAAAATGAACACAGCATTCGGTCTACTACTGTATCCCACAGTGGAGAGTACAGGTGTAAGGGCAGAATGAAACATGATCAACAGTCTTCAACAGAGTGGAGTGATCCCATCAAATTGACAGTATTTGACAGTAAGTCTCATCATATTTATTTTAATATTATACAGTTCACTAAATGGTTGTTTGGTTGATATATGTGTATGTGTATGTACTGATTGTACAGGATGCATTTGATCCACTATTGATACATGTTTACATTCTGAAAAATCACTTTCCAACAGAACCTCAGCTCACTGTGTCTCCATTATGGCTGAGTCCTGGAGACTCTGTAACTCTGAACTGTGAGGTTGAACATCCATCTGCAGGGTTGAGGTTCTACTGGTATAAGGCTGTTCCTGATCTACCCTACAACTACCTCTACAGCTCTGAGCTGCTACCTGGCAGCAGCAATGGGACTGAACAGGATTCCTACATCGTACATGGACAGACACACACAGCAGGATATAAGTGCAGAGCTGGAAGAGGAGATCCAGTGTATTACACTGATTATAGTGAACCCAAGATTGTCTGGTCTGGAGGTCAGTTTGTTTCTGTCTGTCCTCTCAAGAAGCAGATGTTATGTCATCTATTTTCTGTCTGTGACCAACATAAAGTAGCTATATTGAAAACTAACACCTATATTAACAAATAATTGGTGTGTACATTGAGATATACGTGGTTTCGGGGTGCTTACTGCAGCGGACTGCAGTGCTCGAGTACCTCCTCATGAAGACTAGAGGGGAGTTATGGAGCTAGATTCTTGGTTAGGTAGTCAGATAGAGGGAAGCTCTGTTGGACGCTGCGTCTGCCTTTTGTGCACACTGGTGGGTCCTAACACATTGCATTCCCATTCTCCTGTGTGCTCTTGTGATGAAGTTGTAAAAGCATTTGTAGCTGAAGAGGTTTTAGATGAGTGTACAAAGGATCAGTTGGTTAAAATAGCTGACTATTATTATATTATATTATAAAGCTGATGTTGGGGATAGAAGAGTAAAAAAAAAGTGATATGAAACTTGAAAATAAATTTGTTAAAGATGAATGTGTTACTGTTGTAGGAAGAAGCGGTCTCTGTTGGGCCCTGCAGAGGTTGGTCCTTCCTCCGTACTGAAGAGTCCTGGTGCTAGATTCACTTTGGAGCAGCAGAAATAGTTGCTTGTGTTGCACATGAAATTAGAGATGGAGAAAAAAGTCACTGTAGAAAATATGCGACAGGGTATTGAGATGGAGAAAGTACTGTCGGTTGAACTGCAGAAAGATAAATTGACGTTGGTTAGAGAGGGCAAGCATGCGGTTGATTCTCTGCTTGCCGATAATCCTGCTGTTGGTAGCAGTTCGAGCATAAGAAGACTTTATGATATTTCCAGCTTTCCACCTTAATATGTGGTGTTTCATACTGGACTGGGCAGAATTTTCTTGTTTCCTTCTGTCCTCACTCTTTAACTTCATCACGAATAACACCAAAAAGAGAGAGAAGAGATTTTCACTGAAACTTAACTCGTCTTTGCAATGAGTCAACAGGCAGTTAAAAAAGTTAAACAATATGCTGGACATTTGAAAATACCCTGACTAATAAAAGGAAAACACTGAATGTGTATAGAGACAATGCAGCAACATGAATCCCCCTGTATCTTTGAAATATCATTTAAAATGTAATCAAATAGTAGCAAGTTTTCAAGATGGAAATCATAGTTTCACCAAAATCACTGCACTGTGTTGCAATGTTTGCATTAATCCTCAACAATAAACTATAATAGCAAGTTAATATTATGACATTATTAATCTTAAAAGCACTGTGCTCTGTTTGATCCATTATTACATGTTGTTTTTCAGTTTTTCATCCATCAGCGTCTATCACAGTGAGTCCTGACAGAGTGCAACACTTCACCTCTGACTCTGTCTCAGTGAACTGTGAGGGAAACTCTACTGAGTGGAGAGTGATGAGGTTAACTGAGAACAGCTACCATTCACACTGCTCCTTCTGGGGGACAATGAATGGATCCACATGCAACATATACAGTTACCAGCAGACTGATGCAGTGCACTGGTGTGAGTCTGGATCAGGAGAGTTCAGCAACGCCGTCAACATCACTATACTGAGTATGGTTTCATTACATTGTCTTATAAATGATTTTAAACATCCCATTATGTGTTTCAACATATATTAGAATTATGTTGTGTACAACATCTACATTATATTACAAAAAGTTCAATATTCATGTCATTGAATTGTTGTTCCTAAAGATTATTTTATAAATAAATGTAGCCCTCCTACTCAATTCTAATTTGTGACAAAATGTTTACCTTGATTACCTTTAAACAATTTAGCATGGGAGGTGAATTGGTAGGAGCCTACTAAATATGACATTTCTCTGCATTTACTTCGACTAGATAATCTGATCCGAGAGGCCAAGTTCAGTTAACTCCCATACATACTTTTTAATAACCACCTTCCTTTTCAGTACATAAAAACACACAATGATTTGCAATATGAATAAATAGTACACACACAGCTTCAATGCAAAAAAATAGGGGAACATTTATTCAACATGACCCAAATAAAATGTAAATAAAATAAAGAAAATACCCGGGGTTTTTACTTTGTTCAGTTTATGGTACCATGAATGCTGGCGCGCAGTTGGAGCTCATATGAAGATCTTTTTGATTATACTCACACTGGATAGAAACGTTGTTTGTTTAGTTCAAAACCTCTGTCCACTGGCAGCTGATGAAAGTTGTGCTCCTCCATAGCAACGGCTAATGCTCGTCCTAGCAACAGTCCACACGAGGCACTTGTCTTCTTCGTCCTCTTAGCAGAGTCCAGACTCATAAACACCCTCAGCGTTTTTAATTAAAGAAATAAAGTAACTTTAACACTATTTTATAAACTTATGAACAGCACAGTGTTTCTCCGTCTCTCTCTTTAATCCCGCCCTCTCAGAATCCGGTAGTTTACCCCATACTCATCCCTAATAGACCCTGATTGGACAAATGACAGATTGACACCTGAATACTCAAATAAACAACAAAACATATGGCAGGAGGCGTTCAAGGACTGCTCAGAACACAGGAAAATTCATTATCTGCTAAAAAACATAGTAAATATACATTTCCCTGTATTAAACACAACTGATCCCACATCAGTAGTAATTTATATATTTGTTGACTAAAACCTTCATAAAAGAAACAAAATGTAACCAAAAGTAGCAGGGTACTACACAAATAATATGCAATAAGGTATACAATCAGAAGTTCAGTGCAGCAGTATAATTCAATCAGATCTTTGAATCTTTTATACTGGCCACCACCAAAACAATTATATGAATAATTATTGAATTAATTAATAATCATAGTTAAATACTCTTATTGTGATTTAACCATGTACATCAGCACAGTCTAAGCTTTTATCTCATTCTGTTTCCACAGAGAGCACAGTCACACATCTCTCCTACAGAGACTAAAAACCATTTCATCATCTTATTATGATGAGGATTGGATATAGTATACAGATTTATGTAACTTTATGGGTGATCTGTACTTAAGTTTTCAGTGTAGTTTGTAGGACCTTGTAGACGCCTGCTGTTTATTTGGTAAAATTATACTTTACAGACACATAAGTTATATGTACAAAAGATAAAACATCAGACTTTATGATCACTCTGTAAAATATATCAGTGATGTGTGAATTCAACCAGCTGATCTGACTGAAACCTCATATTCTTTGACTGTTTTACAGAAACAGATATTATCCTGGTGAGCCCTGTCCATCCTGTGACTGAGGGAGATTCTGTTAGTCTGAGCTGCAGATTGAGAAGACAAACATTTGAGTCCAATGTGTTTTTCTATCTAAATGAGAAACTCATTCAAAATGATACCAGAAGGGAGCTGAATATCTCTGCAGTGTCAAAGTCAGATGAGGGTTTCTACAAGTGTCAATACTCACAACAAGTGTCAGCACAGAGTTGGATGTCAGTTAATGGTGAGTAGGATTGAAACATTTTCTGCATTTGCTTTCATGTAAACTGTGTTTCTGTTTGAGAAAGAAACTTAGAGGCAAATACTGAGTTGAATTCAAAATAGCTTTAGTTTTTTAACCTGTTGCATTGAGTAGAACATACTGTTTCCTTCTGGGCTGATGAAAGTCTGCATCAGTGGTTGTGATAGTCATGATTTATTGTGAATGTCAGAATATTCTTACAGGTTTGTGTATTTTATTGTGTGTAATCAGTCGGCCGATTGATCTGGCCGATTTTTTGGCATTTGGAGATAATCGGCATCGGCCAAAAATGTCTTCAGACACGTCTGCAGGCAGCCTTATCAGTGTTCCTGCTGGGGAACGACATTAGCACTCTCCCTTTTAGACAAGGTGGTGACAAAGTTGGTTTTGAACCCCACACTTTAACTCGGTTATAGTTATATATAGTTATATAGTGCTGTAAACGTATGCTTGAATTTCCTATAGAATCCAATTATACATGACTTTTCTTTGTTTTGATATCAGCATCCTATATTGGCCATCGGCAGCCCTGCTCTCTAAATATTGGCATCGGCCATTAATTAACCATATCGGTCAACCACTATTCCTTTGGAACAGGATTTTTTGTGTGTGTTTGTGCATTTGTGTTGTTTATAACTATACATTTGTAATTGTATTGTTATGTATTGTTCTAGGGCTTGATGTGACAAGACTGTCATCTTTATTAAAGCACTACATTCAGTGTCAGAAAAGTGCTATACAACTTTATTAACAGTTATTATTCATTATTATAGCAGTGTCCAGGCCTGAAAGCTCTTCCTCTCCTGTACCGTTGATTGTTGGGCTGGTTTGTGGAATCATACTCATCATTCTTCTGCTCCTGTTGTATCGCTACAGACCGTCCAAAGGTCAGACCTTCTTCCACTGCTTTTATTATTCAAACACACACGTATATAATAATAGAACTATAACAACTCACAATACAAAACCATGTAACAACAAATGTCTTTTATTCACAGGTTCATGGTTTATCAGGTTGGTTGAACACTCTCTTCTCTTATTTTGAACATACCAACCATACATTACATGCTCCTATTTATATGTGTTGTATTTGTTTCATGTTGTAGGTCAAACCAGTCTGAGGGCATCAATCAGGACTCTAACACAAATCATGTGGTCAACCAGAATGAAGCTCAACGTCATGACTACTCCACTCTTCTCCATGGTTAGCATTTAAACTAATCTTTGTTTTATATGTATATATTCACACATTTTAAAGACACATTTTTAAAAAGGATCTTTAAATAGTATCATAAGTTTAATGAGATTACTTTGACCTTTGCTTGATGTTCACTGCTCTGTAGGTGATGCTCCTCTGTATGAATCAATCAAAGGCTCTGAGGACACTGAAAACGGTACAGTTCATCCCCAACAGTAACATTCTTGTTTCTAGATAATGTTCAGAGCTTTTACCAAACAGGTCTTGAACCTGCAATCTATACATTTGGAGATATGTGCTAACTATCATGACTTTGGTGACCCTCTGTCTTTTCCTCTAGGACCACCAGCAGGTCAAAATTTAAATGTATCCAGCATTGGGGTTTATGACATTCACATCAGTGGTTGCTGTACTTTGTGTTAAAGCTCTGTTGTACCTGCAGCCTCACAGGTCTGCTAGCATTGCTGTAAACTCCTGTTTATTAACAGTGAACATTGTGAAAATATCACCTCTGATGACACATTTGACCAGTAATGATGGAGTTACTTTAAAGTTAGTTCTGTTTCATGAAGTTACTACATCATTGTTACATACATCTCAAGTTGTATGGTCTGTCCTATCCTTGTTTATATTGCTTTCATCATCAGAGAATGTTGTTGGATCTGATGATTATTCTGAGATTAGAGGTTTAGACTATAAAGGTTTTGCTGTGGCAGAACAACTGCATGATTTAAAGGGACTGATTATGAATGATTGACATAAAATCTTGTAATTAATAATATGTAGCTTCTATTTCAGGTGCAGGTGGATCCCAGGATGTCACATATTCTTTGATTGAACTTAAAAACTTTGGAAAGAAGAGTGAGTAGGCCTACTTTAAATACCTACAATAAATAAAAAATAGATTAGCGTTGTCTTGAACAGCAGTATCTGAATGTTTTATTCTTTTTGGATTAATCTGATTATTTTAACAGGGAAGCAAAAGAAACCAGAGGGGAGCGCTATTTACTCTGATGTGAAAACAGCAACTGCAGGTACCGTCAGTTCCAACCATCATGCTCAGAATCTGTATTGAAATGTGTCGTTACACAGGAGGTCATTATGGGTCAGCATGCAGTTCAATTAATGTCAGTCACCTTGGGTAAATACTACAAACTACCACTCTGCATCACCAGAGTTGTCAATTCTCACACATATTTGGGAACCTTTCAGACTACTGGGTATTTCTGAGTTTGTCTTGTTTCATGGACAGTATGTGTAATTTGTTTCCAATTGTCTTCCATATCACAGATTTGGCACAAAACTGAAAACAAAAATAACACATTAGCATCAGGTTATATTTTGATTTTGATTTCAATTATATTTAGATGCTACTGTACTGTCATGAAAAAGTACAAGGGCATCCCAAATAAATGTATTTTATTTTATTATATTTTATTCCTCATATTTCTTGCATCTTTAGTAATGTATTTTTATTATACATTTTATACACTAAGAGTACATCAGTAAATTCATGTACCTGTCAGTTCAGCTCATTATCTTTATTAATTATGACATTATTGGCAGTTGTTTAAAACTAAACATCCCTCCATTCACAGGAAAATCACCTCCTGCAGCAACTGCTGACGCTGTTTATTCTGAACTTAAACCAGGAACAGCTCTTGGTAATAATGCTGCCATCTGATGTGCTTACTGTAATGACTTATTCTACAGATAATTAAATGGGTGAAAGTGAGAATAACATGTCAGGACATATTTTGTACAGTTAATTTCAGCAGATTATATAAATGAATTACATCATATGGATTTAGTTACTACTTTTAGCATAAAGCATAAGCATTTAGATGTTTTACAGTTATGTATAAAGTTTTTGTGGGAAACTGAATGCAAGCTGTTCCAACAGTTATATCCGGTATATTTAAGCTTTAGTATCCAGGTGATAGTGCAGCTTTAAAGTCAGCATCTTCTTCAGTGTTGGATGAGAAAGATCCAGGATGACCAAAAACAGTTATTTATGTAATTATCTGTATTGGACAATATTATCTCTGCCCATTTTTGGATTAGCTGGGAGCCGGTGGAGTCAGGACTGCCAGAGCCGACCTCAATGAGCTTCACAACGGCTCTTCAGAAACCTATGGGTGCCGTCACAGAGACTATGTGACTGCTATTTTTAATTATACAGTCTATGGTTTTATTCTGTCTATTTACATATATATTCATTGCAACTGTGTGTAACAAATGTTATAGCTTTTGTACTCTTAAAACCATTTTGACACATTAATAAACTATTTTTCCAGCAGTAAGCTGTCAGTTGTGTTTTTATTAGCTTTTTGACTGGACAGCAAAACTAGATAAGAACAACCCACAGTAACCTTCTTCTGACACTATCAAGCTTGTCAAAAGCATTGAAGGGGACAATGACGCTATAGAGCAGTGGTTCCTAACCTGGGGGTAGACTTCTTTTATTTTAAGGGGTATTAGAATTATTAGGGGTACATATACACAGTAGGCGTATATACAAGCATTTTTTTATTCAGTGAAGAAAACTATATGAAATTGCTATTTTTAAAGTTTAGATAGACTCTCACAGGATAAGGTCATGGTGAAGCCACATTCACAAAGCTTTCACTCTCTGGTCAATAGCCTTATGCTGCATTAGAAAACAGAGCTAATAGAACAATGAGAAGAAAACACTGAATATGTCAAAGAAGAAGCCTATTAAGTACGTTTGATTGTTT